GACACCTTTCTCGGAGGCTACGGTGGGGCGCGTCGAGATGTCGGTCATTTTGGTTCATGTGTCATGAAGACAGTTACCCCTCACCTCCTATTGTCCTCACCCTGCTCCAGGTGGTCCTCTTGCCCCATCCTTGTCTTCGTCATCCTCCTCGTGCTCTTCCCCCTCTTCCTCCTCCCCTCATGGTCCTCCTCGTTCGCTCTATTCCTCATCTTCATCCGTGTTTGCCCCTTGCCTTCCCCGTCCCTGCCCCTTTATCCCCTTTCTCTTTCTCCTCGTCCTCGTCGTCGCCGTCGTGCTCCTCCTCCTCCTTCTTGTCCTCCCCTTCCTCTTCCTGCTGCAGCTGCTCCTCCTCCTCCGTCGCCTCCTGGTCCGCCTGCTCCTGCTGGTGCTGCTCCTCCTCCTCACCCTTTTCCCAGGGACCGACCACAACGCTGTTTAGTTATGTCTTGGCCCTTGTGTTCTTTGCCGTCATGTTTTTCGTTGTGTCTTCGCTCTGTTGCTCGCGCTTGTTTGAAACGCGCCTTGAACGTTTAGCGTTTTTGTTTTGCGCGCGTTTCGTTGTCTGCACCGATCGCCCTGCCTCCTCCTCCTCCCTCGGAGGAGGAAGAGGAGGAGGAGGAGGAGGAGGAGGAAGCTCTGCTCCGAAGGAGGAGGAGGAAGAGGAGGAGGAAGAGGAGGAGGAAGAGTAGGAGGAAGAGGAGGAGGAGGAGGAGGAAGCCCTGCTCCCCCCCCCCCCGCCCCTCCATGTGCTGCTCCCCGCCTCCCCTCGCCCGCTCCTCGCGGGCTCTCTCGCCTCCTGCCGGCCTCTTTCCTGGCGCACCGGGCCCCCCCCCCCACACACGAGCACGCCGCACTCATTTCTGTCGGCCACGCGCAGAGGGGGGAAGGCTTCTTAGCAGCACCCCTGCTTCTTAGAGGGCGTGGGCCTGCTCTATACATGTGAGGCCGGCGCCTTCTAAGAAGCAGCCCCCTTCTAAGGAGCCTTCCCCCCTCCCCCCTACCCCCCTTCTGCGCGCCGCCAAGTCCGGCCTGGCTCCGAGCCCAGAGGGAGCGCCCCCAGGTCGGGGCTCCGAGATCAGCAGCCCTGCCCGCGTCTTTCGTTCGACTCCCGACTCGACCTCGAGTTTCGAAGCTTGCATGGCTTCACTGCATGCGAGAATCAAGGCGAAGGAGGAGGCAGCCAGAGCAGCAGCCTCCTCCTGAGGATCGAGTGGCAACTCTCTGCCCTCGCCCCGTTTGTCACAGGCAGATCGAGTCCCTCTCGTCTGAACTGGTGATTGCGAAGGCCTGACGGCCGGTGCCGCCGACCCTGTTCGCAATGCGCAGCAAGAGATTACGAGGTTGCTCAAGGTCGGCTTGGCTGGAGCCCAGGGGAAGAGGAGTCCCAGGGGGGGGCGTCGTATCTGACCCGGGGGGGGGGTCGACACCCCCCCCCCCCCTCCCGGCGGGGGAGGGATCAAAGGGAAGGGGCTTCCCTTCGACTCAATTACGAGGTTGCTCAAGGTCGGCTTGGCTGGAGCCCAGGGGAAGAGGAGTCCCAGGGGGGGGCGTCGTATCTGACCCGGGGGGGGGGTCGACCCCCCCCCCCCTCCCGGCGGGGGAGGGATCAAAGGGAAGGGGCTTCCCTCCGACTCAATTACGAGGTTGCTCAAGGTCGGCTTGGCTGGAGCCCAGGGGAAGAGGAGTCCCAGGGGGGGGCGTCGTATCTGACCCGGGGGGGGGGTCGACCCCCCCCCCCCCTCTCAAAGGGGGGCTTCCCTTCGACAATTACGAGGTTGCTCAAGGTCGGCTTGGCTGGAGCCCAGGGGATCAGGGGGGGGGTCGTATCTGACCCGGACACCCCCCCCCCCTCCCGGCGGGGGAGGGATCAAAGGGAAGGGGCTTCCCTTCGACTCAATTACGAGGTTGCTCAAGGTCGGCTTGGCTGGAGCCCAGGGGAAGAGGAGTCCCAGGGGGGGGCGTCGTATCTGACCCGGGGGGGGGGTCGCTACCCCCCCCCCCTCCCGGCGGGGGAGGGATCAAAGGGAAGGGGCTTCCCTTCGACTCAATTACGAGGTTGCTCAAGGTCGGCTTGGCTGGAGCCCAGGGGAAGAGGTCTCCCAGGGGGGGGCGTCGTATCTGACCCGGGGGGGGGTCGACACCCCCCCCCCCCTCCCGGCGGAGGAGGGATCAAAGGGAAGGGGCTTCCCTTCGACTCAATTACGAGGTTGCTCAAGGTCGGCTTGGCTGGAGCCCAGGGGAAGAGGAGTCCCAGGGGGGGGCGTCGTATCTGACCCGGGGGGGGGGTCGACACCCCCCCCCCCTCCCGGCGGGGGAGGGATCAAAGGGAAGGGGCTTCCCTTCGACTCAATTACGAGGTTGCTCAAGGTCGGCTTGGCTGGAGCCCAGGGGTTGCTCAAGGTCGGCTTGGCTGGAGCCCAGGGGAAGAGGAGTCCCAGGGGGGGGCGTCGTATCTGACCCGGGGGGGGGGTCGCTACCCCCCCCCCCTCCCGGCGGGGGAGGGATCAAAGGGAAGGGGCTTCCCTTCGACTCAATTACGAGGTTGCTCAAGGTCGGCTTGGCTGGAGCCCAGGGGAAGAGGTCTCCCAGGGAAAGGGAAGGACAGAGACGACGAGTACAAAGAATGACGGAGATGACGGCTCGAACGGAAAAGCCCCTCACACACGCCGACAGGGTCGGCGGATTTTAGCTATGTGGCAGGTACCTTTTAGGTTCTCCAGTCATGCAGTTCTCGTCCTCCTTCCTCCTCCTTCGCCGTCTGCCTCCTCATCCTCCCCCTACGTGGAGTGGCAGTCTCGCCTGGTGTCGCCGCAGACCTGGCAGTGCGATTGATGAGCTATCTAAAGGGTGCTTTGATCAAGATACACAGCCTCAACATTCAGATCGATAGCAGAGTGGTTTCACGTGCATCGCCAGTCATCGACCTAGAAACAAGTTTTCGCGATGTGTTTCGATTTTGAAGGGAACTCCGACGGCGCAGCTTCTTGGCCCAGTGCTCGCTTGCAGTGCAGGTCCGACGTACGACCTCCAGAGGAGGAGGGCCGCCATCATTAGCGCCTGTTGTGGGAGTATTCAGATCCATGCCAACAGCATGGTCAGTTCTGACACAGTGTGCAGAAGATTGATCAAACCGCAAGGATGTGGCATTCATGCTCGCTCGGAATCGTGGAACCCATCACAATCAGCAGCCATCGCCTTAGACCGTATCCGATCGGACCTTCTAGGCTGGGTGCTGATTACGTCTTTCCTCACGAGCCGCTCGATCACACAGCTAAGCACGCGCAGGGCCTGCGGATCGAAAGGCTATATCGTCGCCCACTCGTTCCGACTCTTGCGTTTCCTGCATATCGGGGTTGCCCCGTCTCCAGCGGCAGGCCTTTCCCGAACAAGGGCTTGCGCAGTCCGGCTCAATCAGGCGTGTGAGGGGGCCTGCTGTCTCGCCTGTCCTCCTAGGCCCCGATGTGTCCCTCGGCTGCTTCGATCGCGTCTTGGACCCAAGTCACCGCTGACAGAGATGTCTTCTTGGCATCGCTCGGACGTGTGCATTTTTCTTTCGGCGAGGGCCATCGAGGAGCATCCTTGATCACTTAGAGGAGAAACCACGCACGAATCCAAAAAAAACACAGGGAATGGACGTCCGAGCGATGGCGTGTCTTGGCCTGCTGCCCAGGCCAGGGTTTTTGCGTCGGGCCCAGGGCCGCAGATCACTTCTGGCAGGCAGCAGGCCAAGAGGCTCTCTCCTCTTAACGGGCGAAGAACGGTATGACATAAACTTTTTCGCCGTCGGGGACGCCTGTCCCAGGGCGGCTGGAAAGTTTATACCCTAACGGTGGCACCGTAGGGGTATAAACTTTCCAGCCGCCCAGGGGCAGGTGTCTCCGACAGCGAAAAAGTTTATTTTATACCGTTCTTCGCTCGCTGATCCTCCCAGCGCGACACTTTGGGGGAGGAGGGGGGGGGAAGGGGAAGGCCAGGGCAGCTCGCGGAGCAGCGCACCTCTCCAGTCCGACTGCCAGTCGCACGCAGCCCCACACGGCCTGCCGGCTGCCCCTCGCCGCGGGGCGCCAGGGCAGCGCACGCCGCCGTGCCCTTCCGCCTGCCAGGCCCGCGCTCCGCCACCGCTCCGCGGAGCGCGCTGCCCACCCGTGCCCACCGTCGCCCGCTCTCGGGGCAGAGCGCCGCTGTTCTCCTCCCGTCTCCCGAGGCCTGCCTTCGGCCACCGCTCCGCGGAGCGTGCCATCCATATCCGCATCCACATGCGGCCACTCCCCCCCTCCCGCCGCGCCCTCCGCCTCCGCCTCCGCCCTCCGCGCGCCTCCGCGCGCCTCCTCCGCGCCCTCCGCGCCCTCCTCCTCCTCCTCCTCCTCCTCCTCCTCCTCCTCCTCCTCCTCCTCCATCCGCCTCCTCCACCCGCCTCCTCCACCCGCCTCCGCGCGCCTCCCCCCCGCCCTCCGCCTCCCTCCGCGCCCTCCGCGCGCCTCCGCCTCTCCCGGGCCCCCTTCGGGCGCGCCCCCCGGGCGCCGCACCGCCGCTGCCCCTCGCCTGGCCCGGCTCCGAGCCCAGAGGGAGCGAGCGCCCTCCCGGTCGGGGCGCCGAGGCGGGGAGGCTCGGCGCGGAAGGGCCACACCCGAGGCGGGAATCTACACATGACCACCGCCTGGAGGGTCCGTTTTCGGAGCCTCGGCAGGCGGTGGATCTGGACATTTTCGGGCCTCCAGGGGCCGATATATATATATATATATATATATATATATATATATATATATAACACACATATGCACCTACCTATGCACATACATATACATATACATATACATATACACATACAGATGCACATGTACATATCCATATACATATACATATGCATATACATATGCATATGCATATGCACATACATATATATATATATGTATACATATACATATACCTATACATAGACATACACATATACATATACATATACATATACACATACATATACATATACATATACATATACA